AGCCATCTCACCAGCCCCTCACTTATCCTTTTAACCTATCAACTTAGGTACATATTTTAGGTTCACATGCGGTGACTTCCGTTGAGCAGTGACCTGCTGTGTTCTGGCTCCAGTGACCCACCGCTATCCCCCGACTGTGAGTCAGGGCACACAGGCTGGCGGAAGAAATGGCCAAGGTTTGGGCACAAAGGGCACTGCTCAGGGCACAAGATGAGGGGTCCTTCTCAGCCTGTGCAGCGTATAATGCAGGCTCTGAGCCCACATGAGGCGCAGTGGGTGGCACAAATTCTCAGAGGACTCTGCCCTTTCACAGAGCGGAGGCTGTGCGCTTCACAGGACAGTGTTTCTAGTGAGAGCCAGAGGTCACAAGCACTTCCTGCTCAGCTTCCCTCTGTGTGTGTGTGTGTGTGTGTTATGTACACATGTGAACACACACAGATATAATAGCGAATGAACCTAGAGCCTTCTCACTGCACTACATCCCCAGCCCTTGTTTTGTTTTTGAAACAGGGTCTCACTGTACTTTAGGCTAGTCTTGAACTATGTAGTCCAGGCTGTTCTCAAACTACTAGTCCTCCTCCTGCCTTCCCTGTGGTGTGACTGTGACTACAGGTGTGGACCACCACTCCCAGCTTTATTTTTTATTCTGAGAGGGTCTAGGGGCCAGGGAGACGGCTCAGTAGAGTAAGTGCTTCCCTGGCAAGCGCAAGGGTCTGAGTTCAATCCCCAGTTCCGCAAAAAAAAGAGACAGAGAGAAAGCGAGAGAGACAGGGCTAAGTCCCTAAATCCCCCAGGCTGGGCTCAAAACTTGTGATGCCCCCTGCTTCACCCTGCCAGAGTGTTAGGCTTATAAGTGTTTACCACCACACCCAGCTGGATAATGTCCGTAGGTGGCACCTTCATGACTGAATCCTGGTGGCCTCATAAAAAGAGGGACCCACACCAGACACACAAACACAGACACCTCTGCTATGTGATGCCCTGGGACCTGCCAGGTAGAGGTCATCACCAGGACCAGTTGCCTCTGAACTTCCAGAACTGTGAGTAAAATAAGCTTTTTTTTAAAAAAATAAGCATCAGGGAACTACCCGCTCAGGACCCCCTCCTGTCCCTCTCTTGGACAGGAGCTCTCTCTCAATAAATATATTCTGCTCATAAAAGAAAAATAAATAAAAAATAAGCATCTCCCTCCTTCTCTTCCTCCTCCCCTCTCCTCCTTTTTTTAAAAAATGTATTTAGTACAGGATATATAGGCTCTCACTACACAGATTGGACTTGCAGTGATCCTCCTGTTTTCAGCCTCCTAAGTGCTGGGACTATAGGTATGCGCCACCACACCCAGTCTCAACTGCTGTTTCAGCACGCCCTGGGAGTGGGGCCAGCACCGCTGCCGGGGATTGAACCCCGGTAAGCTTCTCTTTTTCATAAAGTTTCCAGCCTCAGTGATCTCTTTGTTGTTGTTATTATTATTATTATTTAAGAGAATAAAAAAGTTATAAAAAAATTAAACAATACAGAAGTTCATAGGAATTCAACAACAGTTGCTGTATTGCATAATGTTGCCTTCAAGTTAGTTATTCAGAGTACCAGATATAAGCATGCAAATTAGTTTTAAGAAGTTATAAGAGGAGCTGGGGAGATGGCTCCGTAGAATAAGCGCTTTCCTGGCAAGCGCAAGGGCCTGAGTTCAATCCCCAGTTCTTAAAAAAAATAAAACAGAAAAAGAAGTTATAAGAAATTAAAAAGGTGGGCTGGAGAGATGGCTCAGTGGTCTAAAAGCACCTACTTGGAACAAGCTTGCCAAAGCATAGGGACCGCGGTTCGATCCCCCAGCACCACATGCCAGCCAGTCCCGCCCCCTGGTGGGCTGAGCTGGCCACACACACAATAAATAATGTATAAATAAATAATTTAAAAAAAAAAGAAATTAAAAAGGACAAGAAAAAGCAAATTAAGCATCAACCACTCCCCTCTGTAGTCCAGCAGGTATCTGCGGTAGGATTATGCAAGTTCAGCAATCTCTGTGGTAACAAAGTGCTGACAATACAGATGTGGGCATCTGTGGGGAGAGCACTTTTCTGCCAATCACACGTGGTAGGTTACAAAAGTGCCCTTTATACCCCAAAGGAACAGCAGAGATGCACCAGAATGCTCCCACTGCCCAGAGACGTCCCACGGCTTCCCTGGAAGCATCAGAAGGGTACTTTATAAGAACAGCCTCACCTGCTCAGCATCCCCAGCCCCTTAACCTTTTTCTCTGCCATGAATTCTTTGTTTAAAAGGTCTTTGTTAGGACTGGGGTGTAGCTCAGTGATACAGTGCTTGCCTAGCACGCATAAGGCCCTGGCTTCCATCCCCAGCATGGCAAAAAATAAAAATAAAAATGTCTTTGGCACCCCAAGCACTATGAATTATCAGGGACTTGTCCTTCTTGCATTTCCTGCCCTGAGCTCAGGCAGCAGCTCACCTGGGTGGTCCCAGGAGGAGACAGGCGGGGCTGCCCTGCTGAGTCAGGAGAACCCCAGTTTCGGCAGCCCCTGTGTGTGTCCCTAGGTGAGGGAGAGGTGACCTGGGAGAAGGCACGGCTGCTGCTGCATTCTTGGGCACTCCAAGCCTATGACTGCACTGGCTGGGGGCAGCAGCAAAGGACAGCAGCAGCGAAAGGCAATAACACATAATGAAGAAGTAAACATAATCAGTAGGTGCAGCCCAGTATCCAGCACCACCTCCAACTCCACGGCTCCCAGCAGCCTCACACACCCAGCCTGAGGGCAGTCCTGCCGGCTCCACCCATCATGAGCAACTGGGTTCTTTCTCTGGTTAATATTTTAGCAAAGGGATACAAGTCTCCATCACCAAATATGGAACTGCCCGGTACGGTGATACAATCCCAGGAGAAGGATCACTGCAAATTTGAGGCCAGCCTGGGCCACACGGTGAGGGTGAGGTCAAGGGCCACCTGGACAACAGAGTCCTGGTCTCAAAAAACAAAAACTGGCTGTGAAAGTAAATGACACAGCTGACAAGAGAGTCCTTTGGTTACCATGAAACCCAGCACTTCCCTACTGGAAGACCTTAAGCCTGGCAGAACCCTCACCAAGCAAGATAATTCTCAAGCTTATAGGGAGAAACATGCCTCCCCTTAACCACCTGACCTTGCACTGGTTCCTCCTGGTGCCTCAGCTCGGTCCCAGTCCCTGTGTGGTTTGGGGAGATTCTCCCCACCCTTTGGATCTCCTTTGCCTGTACTGCACCCCATGCCAGGTCGGGTGTCCAGGGAGCTCCCCTGTCCCAACTAGGCCTAGGCTGTTACTTGGGGGGACGAGTCTGTGTCCACTGTATTGTGAGCTCCTTGAGGGCACAGCCTGGGACTGGCTCGGCCCCTGCTGCTCACAAGCACTATCTGCACAGGGCCTTGCACAAAAGACGTGCTCAGAAAACACAAGCCTAAAGAAGTCATGGGTAGATGAGTGGGGGCGCCCTCACACGTCATAGGAGGTTTATGCCCCCACAGGCACGTGAATCATCTTTTTTAATTTTTTTTGGCAGAACCGGGGATTGAACTCAGGCTCTTGCGCTTGCTTATTTTACTGAGCCATCTCCCCGGCCCCAGAATCACCTTTTTAAACATGTCTCGAACATTTTACTGCGGACTGCAGACCCAGCTGGGGGGGGGGGGGGCTCCCCTCCAAGCAGCTTCCTGACCCCTTCCCCGGTGGCGGCCGTATCCTCTGAACTTGCGCTTCCACCGGCCTGACCGCTCCGGGTTGATGCTGCCGAGCCACGAGTGCATCCCTCAGATCCTACTGGACACCTCAGTCTGTCGAATGTCCTCTCTGATTTGTAGTCCCCTTCTGCCAGATCCCAGCCCGCGCCCTCAGACCACAAACTTCACCCATCATTTCACTACGATCTAGATCTAATGCCCTGAGTCAGACCAAGGCACAATGACATTCTACACTCATGATATACAAACGCCATCCACCTGCCAAGGAAGCAGGGAAACAGAGGCACCGAATGGGACTGAAAGAAATCGCCCGAAGATGGTTAGGCAAAGTGTCCCAGTCCGGTTACTCTTCCGTCCCGCCCCTAGCTCCGCCCGGTCCTGGAAATCCCCGCCTAAATTGATCTTTACTCAGATTATTGGTTTACTTTGGCGTCAGTCTTCACAATTTCTTTTTTTCTATTGGCTGGTATTCCAAACTCGCGCAGCAATACCCTGCCCCGCCCCTTAACCTATGCCCGTTTGTAACTAATGGGTTAGCTGTATGCTCCTCTTCCAGAGCCTCTCTCTATTGGCTAAAGGATTTTGCCGGTTAACGCTATGATTGGCCGTGGACAGATGTCCATCCCCTAAGCAACCAACTGAGAGAGGTTTAAGACTGGAAAGGTTGGAGGGACGTGGGGTCAGACTCACGCTGTGCCGGCGGAAGGCAGATATAGGTCTTGAAAAACTCGCTTCGGCGGGCAGCCTCTTTGATGCGGTTGGCAAGCGGTTTGCTGACCTGCCGGATGCCCAGGTATAGCAGCTTCGCCATAGGGAACGCGCCCACTACCATCTTGGCGGTCGCACAGGGCACGCGCAACCTTGCTGACTGGGCGGGGCGCCTCCAACCTCCCCACTCCTCCCCCGCCTTCTCTGGCCGTGCGTGCTTGCGTGCTTGCGTACGTGCGTACGTGCGTACGCACGCTAGGGGGCGAACAGCAGAGGCACTCGTGATGTCACCGCGTCAAGGCTGAAGCGTCGACGTCCTTTTGATGAATATGCAAATATACAGAGGAAGTAAAGCAGTCGGGGGCGGTGCCGTTAAACGGCTGCACCCGGGAGCGTTGAGTCCCAATCCTGCGACGGTGATGTCATCGCGCTCCTGCGTGATGTCACGTACAGAGTTGGCATCCCCGCCCAAAGGAGGCACTTAATTATCCAAATTAGGGCTAATGAGTCACAAATACACTTTTCCCCGCCAGTAGGGCTCTCTCCCTTGGAGTAAGAGAGGAAGTTGATTGTGTTATCCAGATCTGGATCGCACTTCCATATTTACTCGCTGTGTGCTATTGGACAAATAGGTTAATCTCTGTGGACATCAGTATTACTGTTCTACAAAATGAGTCCCAGAGTAGCATTTACTGGAGAACCCATCCTGTAATCCCAGCACTCAGGGGAGGCTGAAGCAGGAGGATGGCCTTATTTTCGAAGCCTAGCCCACCTGAACTACCTACAGAGACGCTGTCGCCAAAACAAAACAAAAAACCCCACTTACTGGTTGTGGAGGCTTGTATGCCGCCACCTCAGAAGCAGCGAGCTAACCCAGCCCTTTACCCAGCTACCAAAAAGGCTGCGGCCCAGAGAGGCAGCGGTGGGAGGGTTCCCAGCTGCAGATGTTGAGAGCCCGCGTGTTGGCTAATAAAACCCTTTCTCAAGCAGCCCACTTCCTCCTCAGGGGTTAAGGGTCCCCAGGGAGCTGGCTCAGGAAGGAGTTTTAAGGACAAGTCCTGGTCTGTCCTCCCTGCCCAGCAGGGAGCAAAATCATATAAACAAGGTCGAGAAGGGGTTGAGAGAAATTACTGATTGATAGAGAGCTGGTGGATAGTGGAGACTGAAGAAGAGGCGAGGGCTGGAGAATTGGGGTATAGGGAACAAAAGCCAAAACACAGGGCCAGAGACCCTGGGCTCTCCTCCCTGAGAGTCCTTGCTAAGCCCCCTGCACCAAGGGGCATGTGTTCCTTCATCTGCATAGATGGTGAAGGGGAGCTGGGCGCAGTGCCACACAACTGTGAACCCAGCACTCTGGAAGGCTGAGGCAGGAAGATCTATACTGAAAGCCAGCTTGGGCAACTTATTAAGATCCTGTCTTAAAAAAACAATAAACAGTGAGGGTTGTACAGTGTGAAGGCCTTGGGTTTTGTCCCCAGTACAGAATAAATAGATAACTAAGTAAATAAATTATGGTGCTGGTGTGTGTGAAGCCAGATAGTCTTAACTCACTAAGAATCCCAAGAGTCCATATAACAAGGCTTCCCGGAGCCAGGCATGGTGGCACACACCTGTAATCCCAGTACTGGGGGGGACTGAGGCAGAAAGATTGCTGAGAGTTGGAGGTCAGCTTTGAGTTCAAGGCCAGCCTGAGCTCCATAGCGGGACAGTGCCTCAAACACACACACACACACACACACACACACACACACACACACCAAAGGGGGGTGGGGAAGGGCTTCCTGGGCTCCCTCATGGATGGAAGGTGTGAACAAGTCCAGGCCCACTTAAGGTCTGTCACATGCCTGAGACCTCTTCCCATGGGCCAGAGGGTGAAAGGGATTTGCTTGTAGTTCCATAGGTAGAGCCAAAGCTGGGTTTCTTCAGCTCCAGCCCAGGTTCTTCAGATCCCTGGATGGGTTAGCATGGGGCCCAGGACCTACTAGGGACTGAGGATTAGGCCCTAATGGGTCTAGGGAACTCCTAAACGTGTGGGTTTTTTTCTGTATAATTCACTGCTATTTCTTTTCCTTTTTTCTTTTTGTTATGTATTTAGTGCAGAGTCTTCAGGGTCTCACTACACAGGTTGGACTCCAGTGATCCTATTTTCAGCCTCCCAAGCGCAGGGATTACAGGCACACGCCACCATGCCCAGTCTCAGGCCCGGTCTCAGCGCACCCTGGGGGCAGGGCCAGCATGGCACACTGGGGATTGAGCCAGTCCCTGCATCTGCCTAAGCAGGTGCTTTAATCCACTGAGCCATCTGGCTGGCCCTTCTTTTTCTTTTGTTATGGCTGTTTCTGAAGCTCTTACAACAGCAGCTCTCACAACACACAGTAGGTGCTCAATAAATGTTTATTGAATGGACAAGGAGCATTTGGTGGGGGTGGATGGGAAGAGGGAGCCACCTCCCAGATCCTAGGCCTCCTGCTTCTGTCCCCTCCAATCCTAAGCCCCACCCTCCCGCATCTCTGGGCTCCGGGCCCTCCATGCCACCTCACATCCTCCTCCATGAAGTCATTTTGCTCAGGAAGTGTATTGTTTTCCCATTCCTCTCTTCCCATCTCTGCCTTTCTTGGAGACACGTTTCCAGGAAGCGCTGGGGGGAGCTTGAAGGGCAGGGGTGTGGTGGGAGGATGTCTGCATCTCAGGAGGCTTCGTCCACCCGTGCTCTGGGAGGGCTGAGGCCTGGCAGAGCGGGTGCTTCCTCCTGCTCCCCAGCCCTGGTGACCCCTGAGGCCTTGGCCATCCTAGGGCGTGGGAACAGATGCCGGGGGGGGGGGGGGGTGGGGAGCAAGCCCAGGAGGGCCCGGCACTGACTCACCAGCCCTGAGCCCTTGGACCCCTCGCTCAGCCTCTCTGGTGTTGTTGTCTGCGGCAGCTAAGTTCATTCCCAGAGCAGGCAAGGGGCTTGTGGGACACAATCCCCCAGACGGCTTCTATCAACACGTTCCTGCAGAATAAACCCCAGCACTGACCACTGCCCTGCCTGGCCCTCCACTTCTGCCGGGTCCAGCAGTAGTGTATCTGGCCTAAATTTGTCCCATCACCTCCTCACTGAACCCCTAGCATCGGCCTTTACCCCCTGCCTCCTGTTCCCACTCAGCAGCCAGCAGGATGCCATTAACACGGAAATCAGATCACTTCAGCACACTGCCCGGAGCCTCCCCGTGGCTCCTATTTATCTCCCAGTCAAAGGCGAATCCTCACCAAGACGAGCAGCCCCACACCGTCTGCCTGTGGTGGCTGACCGTCCCTGTCCCATTCCTCTTGCCGTCCTGACCTCTGCTCCAGCCACACTGCTGTCCCACTGGTCCCTCAACATTTGCAGTGGCCCCAGGGCCTTTGCACTTGCTGTTCTTGCTGCCTGGAGCATTCTTCCCACAGCAGCCTCAGGGATGGCCACGGGGCCTTTTCAGATCCTTGCTCTAAGCACTGCAATGAGCCTTCCCCCCCCCTCTTTATCGGATTACACTCTGGGTCACACTCTGTCCCCTCAACTGGCTCTATTTTTCCCACTTCTATTTATCAACTCCAAATGTTTTATTTTTATTGTTTTGGGGGACAGTTTTCTATATAGCTCAGGCTGCTCTGAAACTTGCAATCTTCTGGCCTCAGCCTCCCAAATAGCTGAGACTACAAGTACGTACCGCCATGCCCAGCTCCTATGTAAGCGGTCACTTGTTTTTCCTGACCCCCATGAGAGCAGGGCCAGGGCTTTCATGCTACATCCTGAGCCCTGTCAACATAGGCTGGCCATAAATCTCAAATGAGTGAATATTCTTCCTCTTGTGCTGAGCCTCCTCCAGGCAGTCTGTTCTGATTGCTTTTTCCTTGGTTTCTGACACTCTCCCTCCTCCCCCTCCTCCCCCTCCTCTTCCTCCTCCTCCTCTTCCTCTTCCTCCTCCTCCTACTTGCAGGACACGGTTGCTATAGAATCCAAGAATCTGTCACCCTCTCCCTCACAGGGCCAAGGGCATCCCAAGGGCAAACATAATGACCACACAGTGATTTTTCCCACCTGTGCTGGCGTCGTAGTTCTTATTCCCCTGTTGGAAAGAATCCTTTTTCTATTTTCTTTTCCTTTTTTTGTGGTACTGGGAATCAAACTTGGGACCTTGCACTTGCCAGGCAGGAGCTTATGCCGCTGAGCCATCCCTCCTGCCCAGAATCCTTTCTTTTTGTCTTTACCTTCTGGAAACCAAATCTTTGACTTCATGAGCTCTTCCTGTCCCCCAGGAAGCCCTGTGTGACCCAGAGCAGCAGCAGGCCCTGGGACTGCACGAGGACAGTGCACCACCCCGCTGGGGAAGGTGAAACTGGACTGTGAGGGGGTCATGAGGAGGGGCTGGATGATGGTGATGTGTCAGCCTCACACTTGTCCTATTATGTCAAACCCCGACCTGCTCATGTACAGTTTGCATAGAGCAGACCTGGGGAAGGGATCACGGCAGAGGTGTGAGCCTGGGGTCACTGTGCAGGCAGCAGCACCTTGAGTGGCACCTGGTCCCCCTGGGAGGGGGCTGCTGCCATCCAGCTGCCCACCGTGGCCTTGGCCACGCTGCTTCTCTTTGAAGTAAGCGGCGTCTCCAGGGTGAGGGACGCATTGGCCATTTCCTGGGGCTTGTCGCTGGCCAGGAAGCGGAGCAGGTTGTGCAGGGCCTTGGCCACGTCACTGCGGGCGCCCTCGTTGACCAGGCAGTAGAGGATGGGGTCGGCAACGCAGTTGAGGCTGGTGAAGGCCAGCGAGCTGTGGTAGGCAGAGAAGACGCGCTCCTCGAAGCCGCAGTCCCAGGGGCGGCCCAGGTAGACGGCACTGCGTGACAGCAGCAGGACGTGGTAGGGAGCGAAGCAGACCAGCACAATAGCGATGAGGCTGAGCGCCAGCCGCTTGATCTTGGCCTTCTCCTGGCGCTCGGTGGACACACTGCCCCGCACCGCCCGCAGGATGCCACGGTAGCACAGCAGCATGAGCGCCCAGGGGAAGAGGAAGCCCACGAAGACGCGGTAGAGATTCATCCAGGCCACCCAGCCCTCCATGGGGAACTTCTCGAAGCAGAAGGTGTGGTTGTAGCGGTCTCGAAAGAGCTCATCATGGAACAGGGGCGCCGAGTTGGCACCCAGCTCAGTGGCCCAGACCACGGAGCTCACGGCCACGGCTGTCTTGACACGGCGTAGGCGGGCAAAGCGCAGCGGATGGGCCACAGCCAGGTAGCGGTCCACCGAGATGCAGCACAGGAAAGCAATACTGATGTAGATGTTGGTGTAGAAGATGAAGCCGAAGAGCTTGCAGGAGCCTGGCCCGTGGATCCAGTTGTCGTGGTGCAGGAAGTAGTCGACCCAGAGTGGCAGCGTGCAGATGTACAGCAGGTCGGCCACGCTCAGGTTCATCAGGTAGACGCCCAGCTCGTTGCGCTGCCGCACCTGGCGGTAGGCGGCCCACAGGGCCAGGCAGTTGGTGGGCAGCCCCACACCGATAACGAAGATATAGAGCGACGGGGGGAAGAGGTGGTCCACGCGCGAGTCCACGTGACAGCCCTCCAATGAGCCGTTGCCCATCCTGGGCGCTGCGGCTTCCCAGGCTCTTCCCCTGCGTGGGGGCTGCCGGGCCGTGGGGGGCAGGAGGCCATCGGGGCCCCCCGAGCCCCCTCCTTGGAGGCTCAGGGGAACATGACAGCTCCAAGGAAGAGAGGAGATCAAAATGAACCCCTGGGAAGGCTCAGCAGGGAAAGGGGAGGCTGGAGAAGAGGGGGAGAAAGAAAGCGCTTGGGGATGGTGGGATTAAAGGAATGTCAGGGAGGAGTTTGCAGGACTGAGCTGGACATGAGGAAGAATAGATGTGTAGCCCGGCACTAGGGGGGCTGAGGCAGGAGGACCCCAAATTCAAGCCCAGCCTGGGCAACTGAGCTAGACCCTGTTTCAAAAGTTAGAAAGATAGCATCAAAGGGGCTAGGGATATTCAGTGGAAAGACTCTGGGTTCACGCCCTACTGATGGAAAAAGAAAAAAGGATGGGGTAGTAGAAAAATGGGGCAAGGGAGAGGTAATGGAGGGGACAGAGATATCAGCAGGCAGTGGTAAGGGGGGGAAGTGTATACAGCACCCAGGAAGTAAGTGTGGCCATGCTGAAGTACACACTCCTGGGGCGGAATGTTCTAGAAGACAGGAAATCCACAGGAAGGCATTGAGGCAGCCTGGGAGTGTTGGGGAGACTGGCAACACAGGCCGGAGTGCTGGATCGTCCTAGGGCCCAGGCAGGAAATAAGGAAATGCGTAAGATGGAGGTGAGTAGGCCTCAGGGAGGTCCAGTCGGGTGGATGGAGGGAGGGCAGGGGACCACGGTGAGGGCTGTTGGGAAACAGGAAGGAGATGACTGAGGCCTGGATCACAGGAGTGGGGGGAGGAGATGGGCGGGCTCTGCTTCGGCCCTGGTGGGGTCCCAGGGGTTGGGATGAGGAGGTCCCGGCTTGCAGCCTCAAACAGCTGACCTCATAAGGCCTGTGGGAAGAGAGGACAGCGGTAAGAAGCCACTCACTCCACTCCTCCCCATGCCCTCTTGTCATCCCTGTGGATGCAGAGGGCCGGCTCCCCGGTGCTGTCTGCTTGAAGGCTAGGTACCCTTATTTCCAACTGTGTGCTACAAGCCAGGTGTGGTGGTGCATGCCTGTAATCCCAGAACTCAGAAGGCTGAGGCAGGAGGATCAGCGTGGTTTCCAGGCCAGCCTAGACTACTTAGGGAGATTCTGTCTCAAAACACCAAAACAAAACTAAATCCATGCGGCAAAAAAGATCTTAGAACTTTCTCACAGGGACTATAAACCTGGCCCAAGTTCCATATCATGTGCGGGGGCCCTAGAGAACTAATCTAACATCATCTCTTCATAGGTTGGGGGAGGAGCCCCCAGAGGCTGAGTCACCGCTTCAGGATCGAAGCACAGAAGCCACAGAGCCCAGGGTGGGGTGCGGGTTCCGTGGTGTAATGGTTAGCACTGTGGACTCTGAACCCGGGATGGGGGGCCGGGGAGACAGCTCAGTAGAATAATGCGCTTGCCTGGCAAGCGCAAGGGCATCGGCCCCTGGCCCCAACCAGACTACCACATTCTTTTTGTTCTTTTGTTTTGAGACAAAGAGTCTTGCTATGTAACCCAGTCCAGCATTGGCTCACTGTGTATCCCGGGTTAACCTCAAACTCATGATCTTCCTGATTTAGCGCCCTGAGTGCTAGGTCTCAGGCATATGCCACTGTAGCTGACTCTGCTGGTGGTGGTGGTGCTGGTTTTTTGTTTGGTTTTCTCTTTTTGAGACAGGATATCACTATGTAGTTCAGGCTGACTTTGGGCTCAGTCTATAGCCCATGATGGTCTCAAACTCACAACGATCCTCCTGCCTCCCAAGTGCTGGGATTACAGCGGTGTGCTGGTTTGGTTTTTTGTTTTTTTGTTTCTTTCGGCAGAACCAGGTATTGAACTCAGCCCCTCGTGCTTGCCCGGCCAGCGCTTATTCTACTGAGCCATCTCCCCGGCCCCTCGGTTTGGTTTTTTGAGACAGGGTCTCCCTATGTAGGTCAGACTGGCCTTGAACTCACTATGTATCCCAGACTGGCCTCAAATTTACAGGATCTTCTTGCCTCAGCCTCTCAAATGCTCTAATTATAGGTGTGTAGCACCAGGTATGACTCTTCTTTTAAAAAAAATTATTTTCAATTGACATAAGTGTACACATTTACGGGGTAAAACCATCAGGACACCTCAATCTTGTACATGCCAGCTGAATACTCTGCCACTGAGCTACACCCCCAGCTCCTCGCAGCCACAGTTTACTGAGGCCTACATATAGCAGACACTGTTCCAAGCCCTTTTCTGGGTATTATTTCACTAAAAGTTTCAAAAAAGGGAAACAGCTTTTCTTCCTACTTGACACACTGTGGCACAGAGACATCTCCTGATGTCCAAGATCCCGATGACAGGAGAGGGAATCTCTGCTCTTGGCTCTTTTTCAGGGTGTCTTCATTTTACAGAATAACTGGACAGATAAAGGGCCCTGGGGCAGCGTGTGATTGTGCGCACTTGTAATCCCAGCACTGGGGAGGCTGAGGCAGGAGAAACACCATGAGATTGAGGCCAGGCTGGGCTACCTAGTGAAATCCTGTCTCAGAAAGAAGGGAAGGGGGTGCGGGGAGATGGCTCAGTAGAATAAACGCTTCCCTGCTAAGCACAAGGGTTTGAGTTCAAGCCCCAGTTATGCAAAAGAAAAGAGAGAGAGAGAGAGAGAGAGAGAGAGAGAGAGAGAGAGAGAGAGAGACACAGATAGACAGACAGACAGACAGACAGACCAAAGGGCCCTGGGAGCTGTGGGTGGTGAGGCATACCTCTAATCTAGCACTCTGGGAGGCTGAGGCAGGAGGCTGGCAACTTTGAGCCCAGCCTGGTCAATTTAGGGAGACCCTGTAAAGCAGGATGTGGTGGCACACATCTGTGATCTCCACACTCAGGAGGCTGAGACAGGAGGGTTGCTATGACTTCGAGACCAGCCTGGGCAGCCTGAGTTATATAGTAAGACTCTCTCTCTCTCTCTCTCTCTCTCTCTCTCTCTCTCTCTCTCACACACACACACACACACACACACACACACACACACACACACACACACACAGAGGGAGAAGGAGAGAAAGGATGGAAGGTGGGAGGGAATGGGGATATAGTTTAGTGTGAAGGCCCTAGGTTCAATCCTCAGTACAAAAAAAAAAAAAAAAAAGGAAAAAAAAAGACCTTGGGCTGACAGTAGGGACACAGAACCAACCCTAGCTGCAGGACCTGAGGGACGGGAGGGGGAGGAGAAGCTGTTGGGCTCCACCAAGGCGAAAGCTGGAGTCCTGAGATCCCTGCATCCGCTGGGCTTAGGCGCTCACTCCCTTCTGCTCGCCTCCCACCTGGCAGCAGCAGTGGAAACATCTTCCTAACTCGGAAATCAGCTCCTGGTGCTTCTCCGCATAAATCCCTCCAAGGGCTGCCAACTGGAATGCAGTAAAATCCAAGACTCTAGCCAGGCAGGGTGGTGCAAGCCTGTATAATCCCAGGTACTCAGGAGGCTGAGGCAGGAAGAGACCAAGTCTAGCCTGGACAGTTTAGCAAAATCCTATGTTAGAATAAAAATGGCTGACCCATGGAGATAACTCAGCTGGTAAGCGCCTGCTTGGCAGGCTGGCAAGAGCAAGGACCCTGGTTCGATCCCAGGATGCCACGCAGGCCCCGCCATACATGCTCCAAGCTGGCCACCAAGACCCCGCATGGTGGCACACACCTGTAATCCCTGTACTGGCGCTGGGCAGGCTGAGACAGAAGGATCACTATGAGTCTGAGACCAGCCTGAACTACACAGTGAGCTCAAGCCAGCCTGAGCTGCATGGTGAGACCCTGTAACAAATACATTACAAAATAAAGGGGGGGGGGATAAAAGGGCTGAGGATATAGTGCAGAACCAAAAGAACCCCAGTACAGAAAGAAAGAAAAAGGGTGGGAGGAGGAAAAAGAGATATGGAAAAAGATTGACGGATCTCCACTCCTGGCCCTGGGTAACAAGGCTCTGCCCACTGGCCTGGGCAGCCCAGCACCCACTCCCATCCCCACCCACAAGTGGGGTCCAAGCCAGTGACTCCTCCCAGCCTGAAAACTTCTGCTCACTCTCCAGTGGCTGGCCCACACCTGTTTTGCCTTGAGCTCACCGAGATCCTCCTGCCTCAGCCTCCTGAGTGCTGGGGATTACCGGCGAGTACCACCATGCCCAGCTCTTCCCGCACCTCTTTAGCTGACCCAAGGAGCCTTTCTCCACCAGGACCCCAACACCCCCGGCGCCCACATCTTGCTTCTGTCTGAATGAATGAACATCCCAGGACAGTGGGAACACTGCATGTCAATTGCCTGTCCCGTGTCCAGCTGCCAAGACAGGACTGGCCCTTCGGTGCTCAATAAGTGAGCATGCCCAGAAGCTTTTGTGTGTGTGTGTGTGTGTGTGTGTGTGTGTGTGTGTGTGTGTGGCCAGCTCAGCCCACCAGGGGGCGGGGCTGGCTGGCATGTGGTGCTGGGGGATTGAACCATGGTCCCTATGCTTTGCTAAGCTTGTTCTAAATAGGTGCTTTAGACCACTGAGCCATCTCACCCACCCCCAAGAAGCTTTTTTTTTTTTTTGGTCTTACTGATACAGGGTCTCGCTGTGCAGCTCCAGCTGGCCTTGAGCTCACTATGTAGCCCAGGCTGGTCTCGAACTCACAGTGATCCTGCCTGCCTGAGCCTCCCCAACGCTGGGACTGCAGGCGTGCACCACCACTGCTGGGGAAGCGTTGAGAAGGAGCCCACCCCCTCCCACTGGCTAGCTCCTCTCTCTTCTCTGGGCAGCTTCACCCCGGGTTCAAAAAAGTGGCAGCGGAATGGAAAGGGCAGGATCTATCCGCTCCCTGGCCGACTTGCAAAGGTCAGAGCTGAACCCCTGCGGGCCCTCAGGCTGCCGTGGGCGGCCCCACCCAGAGGTCTGGGTTTCCTTAGCCTATGAGACCTTCACTGGTCCATCTCTCCCCTCTCCCCTGCGCTCGCTCCTCTGACCCTGCATCTCTCCCCTTTTTCCTCCTGTAACATTGAGGGCATCACTTCTCCTTCAGCCTCAGTTTCACTTAATCGGTGAAGGGAGCACACAGCCAGGCAAAGTGGCGCACACCTGTAACCCCAGCACTTGGGAAGCTGAGGCAGGAGGATCGCCAGGACTTCAAGGCCAGCCTGGCCTACAAAGCAAGACCCTGTCTCAGAGGTGTGTGTGTTGGGGGGGGCGATCTTTTTCTTTTGCGCATCTGTGGTACTATACTGAGGACTGAACCATTTACACTGCGCTCCACACCCAGCCTCCTGCCCCTTTTAACTTTTTGGCCGGCTCAGCCTGCCCTGAGGGCTGGGCTGGCACGGCATGTGGTGCCAGGGATAGAATCACAGTCCCCTGTGCCTGCCTAAGCTCGCCTAAGCAGGCTCTTTAGACCTCTGAGCGATCTCACTGGGCTCCCACCCCCTTTAACTTTTGAGACAAGTTGTTGCCATATTACTTAGTTGCCCAGGCTGGGCTCAAATTGGGATCCTCCTGCCTCAGCCTCCCTAGTAGCTATATCACATGAGTGCACCACCCTGCCTGGCCGGTGGGGAGGGACAATCTTTCTACTGATTCCTCACATGGTAATCCTTGGCAGAATGAGATACCGATACTATGTCTAAAGCATATAGTCCTGGAGCAGTTACTACTCCCTGGGCCCTGGAGAGCAGAGGTGAAGTGCATCAACTCTCTGGTGCCCACGAGGGTGGGAAGTCCCCTTGCCACACCTTCTCCCCACTGACGCAGGCCCTCTGAGGTCCAGGCAAGCGGGCACACAGGCCAGAGACGCGGCCCTAGCAGCAGGGGAAATGCATTTCCCATTGCTAATTTCCTCCCTAGGCCACCAGCCTGGCACCGTTCCTCCCCCTCCCCAGTGCACCTGCGTCTGAGGGTGCTGGGATGGGGGAGGGTGCTCCAAAAGGATAACCCCCCAAGCCTCCCACCATGAACCCCCAAAGTCAGCACAGACTCCCACAAGGCCAAGGCCTCTAGGTGACAACAGGGCTGTGACCCCTTCCTGGGACAGATGGGCAAACAGAGGCCCAGAGAGGCAGGCAGCTGTCTAGGTCACACGCTGGGACAGGGACAGGCGACCTCCTGTCGCTCTTCATTGAAGAGTTGTTCCTTCTCTGAGGGTCCGGGGCCTGCCCCTTAGCTCAGTTCTTTAAGTGGCTGCTTCCACAAAGCAGTCAGGCTCAGGTTGCTGTGGTTCGATCCCCACAACTCAAGCCAGCCAAACCTGCCCTGAAGGCATTCGGAGAAAAAAAAAAAAAAAAAAAAAAAAAAACCCCTTCCCTGAGGGTCCCCTCCACTTCCTGCACACACACACACCCTTCGTCCTTTTCACTTGTCTTTCTTGGGGGAACCCCCAGGCCTGTTGGAAAATCAGTTGGAAGACAGGCTTTCCCAAAAAAGCAAGTGGCCCTGAGTCACCTGCCCATGGGTCGGGGTCCTCTCTTGGTATCTACATTACCTCTCCCTCTCAGGCATTATTAGAGAAGTAAACCCCCAAATTTCACAGCCTGCAAGTGGCTCCCCTGACTCACAGGGCCCTGCAACTTGGGTTCCTGCTGTCTCCTTCCAGAGGAGCAGAAGTGTGGAGTAGTGGGGACATGCTGTTCGACCCCCAGATCTCCTCCCTGTAGGCCACCTCCATCCCTAAGCCCTGCCAGCCACCCCAAAACCCAGGCAGTTAAGGACTTGGAGGTAAACCCCCAAAGGGAGCTGAGAGGGTTGAGATGATGAAAGAAAAAACAAGGCAGCTCCCATATCCCCATCACCCCCAGGCTCCCGCACCAGCCCTGCCCTGAGCCACCCACCAGGCTGGTGCCCCCCTGTCCCCTATCCGTGGGCTCTGGCTTCCTCCTCCCCCAGCGGCCCCGGGGGACTGGCCAGCTCCGGTCTGCTCATTAGGGGACGAAATGTGATCACCGCGTCTGGCTCCCCACCTGGTGCCCTGGCGGCCGGCGGAAACAAGGGGGCAGCTGGGCCACTGTGACCAGCCCCGCTGGGCCTCAGTTTCCCCGTTTCCTTCAAGGGGGTCTCTCTTCCTGCTGCCCACGCCCACCCCCCCACCCCCGCCAGGGATGCTGGAGTCCTCAGATGTGCTCCCCTGCCGATGTTCTAGATTCCAGCACTTCTGGAGCCCTGGGATCTCGGCTCTGTTCCCTGTCCTGACACCCGAGGGCTCCAAGCCTCCGCCGCGCTGTTATTATTACCCCGCAGCTCTGTGCGCGCCCTTCTAGGTTTCCAATAGCCCAGAGTCTCACATTCCAAGATTCTGAAGTTCTATTGTTAGAATGCTGATTTAAAAAAAAAAAAAAAAACATTTTACGACTTTCATAATCTATTATTAAACCCTCAGTGATTTTTATCTGTGCCCAACAAACATGAATACATATTTCCCTTTTCTTCTTCTTTTTACAGAAATAGGAACACCCTCTGAATAGGTGAGCCCCACTTCCTCTTTCTTTCCCTGGTCTGCTCTGGACTCTTTAACAGCAGCCTGAATGCAGCGTGCGGAATTCTGAGACAGCGCCGACTCTCGCAGAGAGCGCAGGGGAGTGCGTGTAGGGGGGAGGCTGGCCACTGCTACCTGGTCCCCGAAATTCTTGCCCCATGGGGGATCCCGGAGTCCGAGTGTCCCCCCCCCCTGCTCAGCGGTCTCCGCTCACCCCTGCTGAGTTATTATTTGTCTAGACGCAAACCAAATTGCAGGCCCAGTCCAGAGGGCGCAGTGGGCTTCCGAGGGTCAGGAGGGGGCGCCGTTCACGCGGCTCCCCTGCTTTCTCCCCCCTCAATCTCCACCCCTTCCCCTCTCCCTCCCCACCAGCGGGGTGTCAGGAACATGTTCTCTTCTCGGCTCCCAAAACCCTCCCACTGGACTCCGGCCATCCACTCTCACCCTGGCATCCCTTTCTGCTTGCCTGGAAGACCTTAGACCTCCTTCCGCACATTATATTAATCCGACTTAGTGACAGCCAAAGAAGCCACCTCTAGGATGGGGACCAAAGAAGCCAGGTCTTCAGTTTTGGTTCAGTCAGGTGATAGGGACCCCAACCCCGGCCTAGCACTGAATCACCTTGGGAACTTTTATTCCCGGGCCTCAGTTTCCCCACCTGCCTAGGGATGGAGGGGCTTGGCCTAGATGACTGTGCAGGCCAAGTGGTGCCCTCCGTGTGACCGCTGTGGACTGCCAAGATTTCAGCAGTAATCTGCTGCAAGGATTGAGGAGCCCGAGAACCTTCACATCCAGCCCTTGGAGGGTGTTGGGGCCAGGGGTTCTCCGGTGGACAGACGTTCACATTTATGAATCCCCACACCAGCCCTCACTGCACACCCAAAATGGGGCGTTAGGTGTGGGACCCAGGGCTGATGCTTGCTGGGCAAGTGAGTTGCCCCCTGCCCTCAAGGGTTCCCAATGCTATGATTTCCACAGTTTGGGGAGCCTCCAGCCATCTTTTCTCACCCTCCTGGAAAGGGGAGCTCTCCCTCCTCCCTCCAAATCTGAAGTCTGGTCCATCCACACGGAGTAAGCAGGGCAGGGGCTCCTGGAAGCTCCTGGAGGAATGGGGCTGATGGGGGACCTTAGAGATGTCCCCATTCTCTCTGTGCCCCCAAACAAGGCTCCGTGGGTATCCAGCTGGAGCGTACACAAGTGCTTGCACACACCTGGACACCTACCCTTCCCAAATTCTACAGCTGCCTCCCGCCCCGGGTTGGGGGGGGTCTTCGGGTTCAAGGGGGAACAGAGGGGGGAGGGAGGAAGGAGTTAAGAGGGACACAGCGCAACCCTGGGAGGGAGGAAGTGGGGGAGGAAGTCCGCCCCCAGCCAGGAATTCCTGAGTGGGTGCGACCTCAGGAGCCTGGGGTGACTGCGAAGGGGCCCTGGGTTACCAGTGCCACTTAGGATCACCACCCACCGCCCCTCCCCGAGTCGCAGGAAGCCCCCCAGCCCTGAGAGAAGTTCCCAGTTTGCTGCTGTCAGGGTTGCTAGGAGGTGTCGATGGGGTGGAGGCGCCCCAACAGGGTGTACCAGACACAGGGACAGACGGAGCACTAGACAGAGACCCAGACGGGAAGGGAAAGGCAGGGATGCTCCGATCCTAGGAGACAGGCACCGAGAGCGAGGACGGAGGGAGACAGAGGAGGGATGGGAACAGAGGGGCGGGAGGTGCACACACCCAGAGACGCCCTGGGAGAGGCGCGCCGGGAGCAGGGACCCTAGTGGACCCGGGGACCTCTCAGCGGGGCTGGAGATGCGAACGCCAGGGCCGGGCGGGGGCGGGGCCGAGACGGCGCGGGAGACTGAGGCAGGCGGGTCGCGGGAGAGGGGGCGCCTTACCTGCATCGCGGCGGCGCCTTCGGTGCGACCCTGTCCTGACTCGATGGCGGCTCCGGGACTCCAAGGCGCCCCGTGGAACTGGACGCCGGCGACACCCCGTGGCCCCGGGCCCGAGTCGCCCGCCCAAGCCCCGCCCCGGCCGGTCCCGCCCCCGTTAACCCCTCCCCTGCCGCGCCTCTGAACCTGAGAGCTCTTCACCACTCAGGGCTCCTAGGCCAGAAACTCCAACTCCGGAGCTAGGACCCCAACCACACCTCATTAACCCCCACCGTGTGTGTGTGTGTGTGTGTGTGTGTGTGTGTGTGTGTGTGACTAGGTAGCCCAGGCTGGCCTCAAACTCAGTGGCGATCCTCGTGCCTCAGCCTTCCCATTGCTGGGATGACAAGCGCCCTGACCCTTGGGTCACCCACACTCCTTCAAAACACTGGCCTCCAACATCATTTCTGGGGACAAGGGTTCCACCACCGACCCTCCCCGCTGGCAGCTCTTACCTTGGAAGCCCCAGATCTAAACCTTTCAATTTCTGGTCATTAATACTCAGCACGACCCTTCCCACCCAGCTAACAAATCCCTGCCTCCAAGGTCAGCGGCACCCCTGGAAGGAGCCCTGGGATTTACATTTGCAGCCAGCTCCCTTCCCTGAGCTTAGCTTAGTGACCTGCCTGCCTCAGTTTCCTCTACAGCCAAAGCTGTGGAGGAAATTATTCATGGTCCTTCCACATGGGAATATCCAATGGCATAAATGCTATCGAATCTAGGAATGATCTGAGTGTGGTGGCTTAATCTCAACTTCTTGGGAGGCTGAGGCAGGAGTACAAGTTCAAGGCCAGCCTGGGCAACTTACTGAGCCCTTGTCTTAAACAAAATTTCAGTGGGACAGTGAGATAGCTCAGCAGTCTAAGCACCTGCCTTGCAAGCACAAGGACCTCGGTTTGATCTCTGGTACCACATGCCACGCCAGTTCCGCCCCCAGGCAGCTCCCAGGCAGCCCTCAGGCAAGCCAAGCTCAAGACCAGGCATGGTGGCGAATGCCTGTAATCCTAGAGCTGGGGAGGCTGAAAACAGTAGGATCACTACAAGTCCGAGCTGCGTAATGAGACCCTGTACTAAATACATTTAAAAAAAAAATTCAAAAGTGCTAGAAATGTAGCTTAGTGGTAGAGAGCACCTGGCTTCGTTTTCAGTACCAACATAAAGAGAAAACCTAGAAACACTCCTCAGTGCGTCCCTTGGGTTCCTTCAGTACAGTGAATCCTGATACACGGACGAGACACACAGCTCAACACACAAATCAGGGCCAAACAGGCCCTGTCCTCCAGGGCCCTGTACATGTGCTTTTTCAGGCAACACACCCTATTGCACTCCCAGACATAACTCTGTTATTCTTTTTGTTGTTGTTGCTGTTCTGTTTTGTTTTGGGTACCAGGGATCACACTCAGGACCCTGCACTTGCCAGGCAGGCGCTTCTGCCATTTATACCCCCACCCCCTTTTTCTTTTTCCTTTTTCTCCCAGATTGGTCTCACTATTTAGTTCAGAAGGCTGGCCTTAAGCTCATTATGTAGCCCAGGCTGGCCTCAAACTCATGTTGATCCTCCTGCCTCAGCCTCCCCAGAGTGCTGGAATTACAGGTACGTGCCACTCATAGATTTTTGCACTCATAGATTCCTTTTGCCTGTTCTAAATTGTATGACTTTGGGCCGGGGAGATGGCTCAGTAGAATAAGTGCTTCCCTGGCAAG